CAGGCCAGCAGAGCTGCAAGAGCATGCAGCCTCGCAGCTTGTTTAGGGTTTAGGGTTTAGGGTTTAGGGTTTAGGGTTTAGGGTTTAGGGTTTAGGGTTTAGGGTTTCGGGCTTAGGGTTTGAAGCCTTTATAAACCCTAAACCCTAGACGCCCTTTACCCTCAACGCCGAAGGTCGTGGGGCTTAGGGTTTGTGGTGGAGGGCCCGGGTGCTTGAAGTATGAGGGCCTGTAATGCCTGGCCCGAAACCCTAAACCCTAAACCCTAAGCCCTAATAAGCCGGCCCTAAACCCTAACCCCCCTGTACCCCTTGTAGGGTGTAGGTTTAGGCAACCCTATACCCTAAACCCTAGCCCCTAAACCCCCTGTACCCGTTCTAGGGGGAAGGGGGGTAGGTTTAGGGAACCCTAAACCACAAACCCTAAACCCCATTTTTCGGGCTGAGGACTGCACATTCACATTCGGGCTGCGCGGGCCTCCTTAACTTTGAACTTGACAAGCCCTAAACGCCAAACGCTGCACAAACCCGCGAACACGAAGCCCTTCCTTAGCCTTGGACACCCGAAGCCTACCTACCTCCCCCCAACCCCCCCCCACCCCTCTCAGCTCCCAGCCACAAAACCCGAAACTGAGGCCCTTGAAACCTTGACCCAGTCTTAACCAAAAGCGGATAAGGATTTAGGGTTCAGGGCTGGCGGGCTAGCGCGAGAAGCCCTTCACGCCGAAGCCATCCAAAGCCAAACCCATCCAAAAGAACACCCACAATGGCAGCAACTACCGATTGCTTAAGAACCCCCCAAAATTCATTTTCCTTATAAGGGCAATATCAGGCTCATTATCTTTCATTTTGGGGGGGTTCTGAAGAAAATAGTAAACAAAACCGAAAACCTTGATGACTGCAGCAATGCTCATGTAGTTCGCTGCACATCTCGTACAACTCAACGTGTGGAAAACGCTTCCGGTCGATGCTTCCAGAAACCTTAAACCGGCTGGCGTCCAGACATGCGTTCGGAGTGGCTCAACGACCCCTGTGCTGTAGCTAAATGTCTTGCACCAACCCTAAACCCCAAACCGTAAACCCCCAACCCTAAACCCCAAACCCTAAACCCCAAAGTTGTCGTCCAGCTCGCTCTTTGACTGATGTTCACGCAAGGAAGAATCCAGGTTTCCGTTGGCCGTCGGGTCTTGTTGAACTCCGACAGCCTGTACGGTCCCCCAACCTGAAGCCATCTAAGCCCCCAAACCCCCCAAAACCCCAAACCTCCAAACCCCCAAACCCCCAAACCCCCAAACCCCCAAACCTCCAAACCCCCAAACCCCCAAACCCCCAACCCTAAACCCTAAACCCTGCGCCCTTAACTCTTAGGCTATTCACACCCGGCACCCTAAACCCCACCAAAACCCGAAACGCCGAGGCGCATAGAATCAATAGTCGGTCGTTGGCCGAGCACTGCGCGTCGCTGGCTTCTATGAAGCTGGCCTGGGAGTGGAGGCTCTGTGGGGCGCTTTAGGCTGTAAGGTTTATAGGGTTAGGGTTCAGGGCTTAGGGCCTGCTAGGCGTGTAGTTCTTGCAGGGTTCCAGGCCACACGAAACAAAACCAAAAGCAGCCCCACCTTCCCCAACAGTTTAGGGTTTAGGGTTTCAGGGTTTAGGGGCCAAAAGGCGCCACGAGCCGGCAAAAAAGCCCCCTGAGCCCGCGTCTTACTCAAGCTCCAAAGACCAAAAACACCTCTAATCCCATGAACCCCCCCATGAACCCTGTCAGCCCGAAAAAAACACCATTATGAACCTCATAGGTACAAGAGAACATGGGCCTCGAAAGCCGATATACCGACAGCCTATGAAACCCCAAACCCTAAACCCTGTGTATACATCCCATGAACCCGACAAGCCCTATAAGGCCCATAAGCCCATACACCCCACGTACCCTACAGCCCCTCAGCCCGGAAGCCACACAAACAACCCAAGCCATAAACCCCTAAACTCTTACTAGCTCTTAACCCTAAACCCCGAACCCTAAACCCTAAACCCTAAACCCGAAACCCGAAACCCTAAACCCTAAACCCTAAGCTCCGCACCGTGCCCCAGAAGAGCAGCAGAATGGCCAGGGGCGTCGTCAGGCAGATACAAGCGACCATCCCGAGTAGCCGATACCTCCGGGGTTTAGGGTTTAGGGTTTAGGGTTTAGGGTTTAGGGTTTAGGGCTTTGGGTTTAGGGTTTAGGGTTTAGGGGCTTCAGGAGTATGGTTTAGGGTTTAGGCTTGAGGGTTTTGGGATGTTATTCGGGATCTAGGGATTGAATGTTTAGAGCTTAGGGGTTTGGGGCTTAAGGGCTTCATCAGTAATTCGGGTGCCGGGTTTAAGGGTCTAGGAGTTCCCATGCGCTAAGGTTTGGGCTTTAGGTTAAGGGCTTAGGTTTTAAGCTTTTGGGTTCAGGGTTCAGGGTTCAGGGTTTAGGGTTTAGGGTTAGGTGCAGTTTAGGTTTTGGGTTTTGGGTTTAGGGTTTGGGGGTTTGGGGTTTGTGAATCTGAAGTGTCCATGCGGGCTTTCGGGCTCAACGCCGCACAGGGTCGAGAGCCGAGGGTCGAGGGTTTAGAGTTTAGGGTACAGGGGAGGCTAGGCATTGGGGTGTATAGCTTGCGGGCTGGCGTTTAGGATAACTTTTTAGGCCTTTGCGGCTTAGGGTTTAGAATTGCCCTAAACCCTAAACCCTAAAACCCTAAGCCCTAAACCATTTGCGCTTGGGGGTTCACTGCTTTAGGGCACCGGACTTGGCCTGTTCCGCTCTCTACGTCTCTGCGTCGCCCGGCCAACAGTGGGTGGGGTTGAGGGAGTTCAGGGTGTAGGGTTTCTGGACCCAGGAGTAACCTAGGAATAAACAGAGTACCCTTTGAGGGTTTAAGGGGATTAAAAGGGACCCTGAACCATAAACAAAAAGGAAACAAGGGCCTACTCCGGGTCCTGGGTTTTCTTGGGGCATGATCGCACCTGTAGGTGGACCCTCAAACCCTCTCTCCTAAGCACTCGAACTCAACCCTGACCCGCAAGCCTGAAACCCTGTAACCCTTATAAACCCTAAACCCTCAACCCTAAACCCTCAACCCTAAACCCTCAAACCCTAAACCTGAAACCCTCAGCCAGTAAACCCACAAGCCTAAACCCCTAAACCCCTTAAACCCTCAATCCCCGAAGAAGCCCTTAAACAGTCCAGGAAAATCGATCCCCCCAAGCAAGCAACCTAGGATTTTGCAAGATGCTCCCGCTTGGTATTCAGGGTTTAGGGCTTGGGCTTTAGGATCCCCCCCCCCCCCCCCCCCCAAAAAAACCTCTCCTAAAGAACAAATTGTGTAGAGCTTAGGGCTTAGGGTTTAGGGAGTCGGGCTTAGGGTTGCCCTGTTCAGGGTTTTGGGACTTAGGGTTTAGGGTTTATAGGGTTTAGGGATTTAGGATTTAGGGTTTAGGGTTTAGGGTTTAGGGTTTAGGGTTTAGGGTTTAGGGTTTAGGGGCTGCGCCTCAGCTCCTGCACGATGCCCGAAGCCCGTGGCTGCTGGGGCATGCTACGCCTGCAGCACGCTCGGCTCTGCTCGGCGGGGTGCTTGCTGAGCAACTACTCCTGAATGAACTTCTCAGAATTCTCAGAAGCCCAACAAACCTCAACCCTAAACTCTAAACTGAAACCCTAAAACAATAAGGCTTGGGGAGCCGAAGTCTGCAAAAATGAAGAACCCTAATCCCTAAACCCTAAACCCTAAACCCTAAACCCGAAACCCGAAACCCTAAACCCTAAACCCTAAACTACACCTGTCAACCCCGTGGGTCGGCGTTTTGGGTCTTGGGGGTTTTGCGCTTCGGGCGTGGGATGGGGATCCGTAGACTCAAGGGCTTCGGGGAAGGGCTTCGGGGTTTAGAGTCTAACATTTGATAGAGGTTGTTAAAGGGTTGAGGGGTTGAGGGGTTTCGGGGTTCAGCAGCTTTTAGGGTCGAGGGTTGAGAGGTTTAGGGTTGAGGGGTCTAGAGGGGTTTAAGGATGAGGGCGTTAGGTGCTTAGGGCTCTCCAAGAGTTCAGCGTAGGGAGAGCCGCCAAACCCTTAGACCCTTAAGCCCCAAAAGCCAAGGCAGGAAACTGAACTGGCCTGTGGCAGAAACATGGTTAGAAGTCTTTGCAGACAGGTTTAGGGGTGCTTGTTGAACAAGGCCCTCCCAAAATGACCGCCTGCTCACTTTCGAGGCAAAGACGGCCGGGGGGAGGGGGCGGGGGGGGGGGGGGGTACCGGGGGAGGGGGAAAGCCCCTAAACCCTAAACCCTAAACCCTAAACCCTAAACCCTAAACCCCGAGCCCCGATGGGCCCTTGCTGGTGCCCATCGTCTGGGGATCCCACCGTCCAGGCACCAACGTTTGCACCAGTGGCGCCACTAGCGCGCTGGGTGGATATCGGCCCGCCTGTCCGATTTGGGGCATGGGAAAGATCCTCGATCCTAAAGGGTTTAGGGTATAGGGTTTAGGGTTTGGGGTTTAGGGCTTGAGGTTTAGGGTTTAGGGTTTAGGGTTGAGGAGTGCTCTTTGTTGGGAATGAGGGAATTAGGCACCTCTCATCCCCCCCCCTCATAGAGCCTGTCAAGGGACTGTGCAATTAGAGCGGGTTTGGGTTTAAAGGGTTTAGGGTTCAGGTTTTAGGGTTGCCATGTCTCCTTACTCCCTACGAACAACTCGCAGGATCCGGGGTGGTGTTCAAGGCCTTGGGGGTTGTGGGCCTTAGGCTTCGCTGCTTCAGTGGTTCCCCGAGCCTCCTGCTACAGGGTTCTCCCTAAACCCTAAGCCCTAAACCCTAAACCCTAAACCCTAAACCCTAAACCCTAAACCCTAAACCCTAAACCCTTGAGGGAGGGGAATTCAAGAGGGGTATGTAACCCAAGGTTCCCAAATACTCCCAGCTAGTGCCTACGGCTCCCTAAGCTTCCCCAAGGTTCCCTCGCTACCCCTCCCCCCCATGACATCGACCAAGCGGTAGCTTTTGCCCAATTCGTCAAGATTTTGGCCCGCAGTGAAAGGAGGCACCAGGGAGAGGAGCTCTTCGACGTCATCGAGGCGGTAGCGCTTGCGCAAGCTTTCAACCACCGCGCCATCCATGCCTGGCTTCAAAAGAGGCACAAGCTCTTTGACATCGTGAAAGCGGTAGGAACCATTTTAGCGGAAAGGAAGAGGGACAGTGTTGAGACGACTTAGTTCAGGCCAAGTTGTTGTAGAACTCCACAATGTTACCGGAGTCTGTTTCCGGCCAAAGGCATTCTGCATCTCCCCAGGTTCCACTTCGAGACTCAGGTTTTGGTTGTAGAATCTCAAGACCAAAGGATGTCGGGTTCAGGGCTTTGGGCTTGAAGCTTATATAGCATGAACGACCGGCGCTTCATTGTGCCCCTCTGCGTCAGTTCCTTGAAGTTGCCCTTCGGCGAGTCGTCCGAAAAGAAGTACATGCCAATGCCGGTACCGCATGTCAGAACTGCGGGGACGATGAAAGAAAGGCGCCAGGCCTTCTCGTCGTCAATGCCAGTGCGGAACCTGTTCCACACGCCGACCATGAGCAGCTGAACAGCACCGCCTCCAAGGTTGCCCCAGCCACCAGCCATGGCGTTGGCCGTGCCCACAATCTCCTTCGCGAACAGCTGCGAGCACCACGCCTGGCATGGCACAAAGCAGGCGCCCAGGACACCGATGAAGAAGCGGATGGTGGCCAGGCCAGTAGCGTTGTTCACGAGACCACCGAAGAAGACCGGGATAGCTCCGAACGACAGCAGCATGGAGAACATGGTGCGCGTGCCGAACACGTCGCACAAAGGGCCCACAGCGAAGCGCATGAGCACGGTCGACGCCACAGACGCGATGTTCGCGTTGTACACCTCGTCCTTGGTCAGGCCCAGGTCCTTCTTGATCTGCGGCATCAGCGGCGCGAACGCGAACCACGACGCGAAGGCCATGAAGAAGCCGAACCACGCGAAGTGGAAGCCGCGCATGTGCGGCCGCTTGAAGGAGAGCAGCTTGATCTCGGTTGCGCGGTCGCCCCGAAGCACCTGCTTCGGGTCCACCTCGCAGTCGTAGGTCTCGTACTTCTTCCACGAGGCGCGGCGCTCGTGCTTGCGGCGGCCATCTCGGGGGTGGACATCTCGACCGCAGCCATCTTGCTTGGAGCTTGCACTGCCGGAGGGAAGGAAGGCTTGGGTTGCCTGGGTTCACTCTTGAGCTTGGCTGTTGCGCGTGCGGTGTGAGGTGTGAGGCTGTAGCCCAATCACATCAGAAACACTTTACCGAGTTGTACTGGGTACGGCAACACCATGCTTTTTGGGCGATCTAAACATATGTGGAAAACAGCCCCGACCACGAAGAACACACGGGGCTTTTTGTTTGTGTCCAGCTCTCTCAGTTAGCACAGGAACCACAAAGGAACAGGGCACTGCTCCGCAAACCCCGCAACCAAATTATGCTTCGGAGTACGATGTGGACGCGAAAGCGCGTACACGCGCGTGCCAGCTGCTTTGCACTCGTACTTTCGCAACATCCGATGGCGTTTGTGGTCACTTGACGAATGAGGCTTGCTACCCCTCTACGGGTACCAAAGGAGACCATCCTGTTGAACGACGGACAGGTCGTGGTAAACGTGCCAAACTTGTGTGTTGAGGGCTGCGGTGGGTTTGGGGTGGGGGGGGGGGGGGGGGGGGGGGGGCGTATAAAAGCTCAGTTCTTTATGGATTTATAAGCATATTGTCGCTGTCGGAGAGCGACTACCGCAGCTCGGATTAAGGGTCTACTGGTTATGCTCAAACCTACCCCTGTTAAGGATACTGAGGGCCATGATGGTTCAGGGCTTTGGGGCCGATCTGGGCGGGGGGGGTTCCAAGCCTTGCAGGGCTTTATGGCTGCTTTGGGTTGTAGGGGGTTGCAAAGGTTTGAGGCTGTAGGCGCTCGAAACTATAAACTCTAGGTCCTAAACCCAAACCCCTAAACCCTAAAGGCCCGAAAGGCCCTAAGGGCCCTAAAGGCCCTAAAGGCCCTAAAGGCCCTAAAGGCCCTAAAGGCCGTAAAGGCCCTAAAGGCCCTAAAGGCCCTAAAGGCCCTAAAGGCCCTAAACCCTCAACCCTTGAGTTCGTGAACTGCCCACCTGGTCCAGGCCCTCAAAGGGGTCGCCTGGCAGCAGGCGGCTCTTTTCGTGACTTTTTAGGGGGTGTTCTTGCTGACCCTAAACCCCTAACCCTAAACCCTAAACCCTGAACCCTAAACCCTAAACGTAAACCCTAAAACCCTAAACCCCAAATTAGGGTTTAGGGCCAGGGTTTAGTGTTTAGGGCTTCGGGTTTCGGGTTTCGGGTTGAGGGTTCACCTTGAACCCACAAACCCCATGCGGCTCTTGCTTCAGTTCTGTTTGCTTTTGGCGCGCAGCCCTAAACCCTAAACCCTAAACCCTAATCCCTAAACCCTAAACCCTAAACCCTAAACCCTGAACCTGGGGTGCAAGGCCCGGAGGGTCTAGGATGGCCCTCAAAACCCTCTGAAAAAGACTCCCTAAACCCTAAACCCTAAACCCTAAACCCCAAACCCTAAACCCTAAACCCTAAACTCCATAAGGGAAAACACAATCCCAAGGGACTACCTGGGGGGCCCTCGACTCGGGGGTTAAGGGCTTTTGGGGCTTTTAGGGCGTTAGGGCTCAGGGTTTAGGGTTTGGGGTTTAGGGCTTGGGGTTTAGGATTTGGGGTTCAGGTTTTAGGGTTTAGGGCTTTTGGGGTTTTTTGGCTTAGGGGTTTTCAGGGCTTTTTAGGTTGTAGGGTTTCAGGGTTGTAGGGTTTTAGGGCTGCAGGGTTTTCGGGCTTTGGGGTGTTGCAGGGTTGCAGGGTTGCAGGGTTGCAGGGTTGCAGGGTTGCAGGGTTGTAGAATTTAGGGTTTTAGGGTTTTAGGGTTTGGGGGTTCGAGGGGTTGTAGGGTTGTAGGGCTTTAGGGTTTTAAGGTTCTAGGGTTTCAGGATGTACCTCAGAACTTGGGATCTGCAGGCTTAGGGTTTAGGGTTTAGGGTCATTTGGGTTATTCGGGCTATGGGTAATCACGGGCTCCGTGTTGCTTTGGAGAGCACGAGGAGGGCCGAGCAGGTGGGCAGATCACCTCTCTGCCTTCAAGCTGATGCATTTGAGCCTGGAGGGGAAGTTGCATCTCGGTGGAAGCCAAGGGCCTTCGTCCATGCCACGTCGAGAGGAGCTTCGCTTGTTTGAGATGGGGCCTTAGGGTTTAGGGTTTAGGGTTCAGGGTTTGGGGCTTAGGGTTTGGGGTTTAGGGTTTAGGGTTTAGGGTTTAGGGTTCAGGGGGTTTAGGGTTTCAGGGTTTCAGGCTTCAAGGTATTGGGGTCTAGATGCAAGGACAGTGAGTGTGTGGGTGTGTGCGTTCTACAAGGCCAACGTAGCCCTGAACCCTAAACCCCAAACCCTTAAACCCCCAACCTTGACCATCCCAGAGCAAGTAGCCTAAACGAATCTACTGAAGCCCTAAACTCCCAAATAACCCTAAGCCCGAGACACCTAAACCTACACACCCTCAACCCTTAACCCTACACTCTAATTAAACCCTAAACCTTAAAGCCTAAACCTACACACCCTCAACCCTAAACCTTAAACCCTAAACCCTAAACCCCTTGAGTTTCGCGCGCGGCGGTATCCGCTGTAGCAGCGGCGCATTCACGCCGCCCTCCTCGGCCTCGGTTGGCTCCACGGGCAGTTGAAGAGAAGGTCGCAAGGGTTTAGGGTTTAGGGTTTGGGGTTTAGGGTTTAGGGTTTAGGGTTTAGGGTTTAGGGTTTAGGGTTTGAGGTTTAGGGTTTAGGGTTTAGGGTTTAGGGTTTAGGGTTTAGGGTTTAGGGTTTAGGGTTTAGGGTTTGGGGCTAAGGGTTAGTGTCTTAGGGTTTAGGGTTGGGGCTGAGGGTTTAGCGTTTAGGGTGTTGGGGTTTAGGGCTTGGGCTTGAGAAAGCTTAATATTGTGTAGTTAGGGCTCAGGGTTTTACGGTTTTAGGGTTTGGGGTTTGGAGTTGGGGTTCCCTATTTTCTGCACCCAAAACCCTGAAACCCCTAAACCCTAAACCCTAAACCCTAAACCTTAGCACATTTCCGGGCCAACAGCCAAAACTTCAGACCCGAACCCTAGACCCCTTGGAGCCAAGGAATGCTACGAACCCTGAGCCCATTTGACCCTAGGGTTTAGGGTTTAGGGTTTAGGGTTTAGGGCTTAGGGCTTAGGGTTTAGGGTTTAGGGTTTAGGGTTTAGGGTTTAGGGTTTAGGGTTTAGGGTTTAGGGTTTAGGGTTTAGGGTTTGAGGTTTGAGGTTTAGGGTTTAGGGTTTAGGGTTTAGGGTTTAGGGTTTAGGGTTTAGGGTTTAGGGTTTGAGGTTTAGGGTTTAGGGTTTAGGGTTTGGGGCGTAGGTCCGGAAAACCCCATTCACTGGCTAAGGTGCTGCTCGTGCATCTTCCACATCCATGGCCTGGACTTGTGGGAGATGCTGGGCGAACGACGGCTTAGTTAGAACCCTGTAGATTTTGGTTTAGGGTTTAGGGTTTAGGGTTTAGGCTTTAGGCTTTAGGGTTTAGGGTTTAGGGTTTAGGGTTTAGGGTTTAGGGTTTAGGGTTTAGGGTTGAGGGTTGAGGGTTTAGGGTTTAGGGTTTAGGGTTTAGGGTTTAGGGCTTAGGGTTTAGGGTTTAGGGTTTGCGGTTTAGGGTTTAGGGTTTAGGGTTCAGGGTTCAGGGTTCAGGGTTCAGCATCTCATGTTGCAGCTTCTTCTAGTCAAGCAGTCTCCGGCTTCGGCAAAATATCCACCCGCCCAAAGAATCCCAGAACTAAACCCTAAAGCCTAAAGCCTAAACCCTAAACCCTAAACGCTAAACCTTAACCAGCCCAACAGGCCCCGAACGCCAAAATTTGACCTTAATTTGGGCTGGGCATTAGGGTCCCCCCTTTTGGGGCCGGCACCCAAAATTGACCTGGGTATTGGGGTTGGTACCAAAAGGCTGGGCCCCACAAGTGACCTTATTCTGGGCTGGGCTTTAAGGTTGGTAATTACCCCAAATTTTCGGACCGGGCTAAGCATGTGGCTTGGTACCCCGTATTTTGGGTTGGTTGGGCTTAGCCCTAAATCTCAAATCCGTTCAGGGTATAAACCCTGACTTTGGCGACATGCCTTTGAGCCTAAACACTAAACCCTAAACGGCAGTTGTTGGGGAAGGAGTGGGGGTGGGGGGGGGGGGGGGGGGGGGGGGGGGGGGGGGGGGTGCTAGTTGCGCACGCCTCAGGTTGTGAAATGTACGGGGTTTGGGAGTCTGGGGGCATAGGGGATTTAGGGTTTAGGGTGTAGGGTTTAGGGTTTAGGGTTTGGGGGCTTCGGTGGTGTGGGAGTTGTGGGCTTAGCGTCCGAAGCCCGAAGCCCTAAACCCGTTTAGGGGCCTAGGGTTTTGGAGCTTTTGTGTTGGGACGTTCCCTCTTTTACTAACAGTCCTTAACAGGGATACGAATAGGGGGTTCTATGATCCCTATTAAGGACTGTTAGTATAAGGGGGAAAATCCCAACTTTTGTGTTTAGGGCTGGAGATTCCCAGGACACAGACTGCAAAAGCGAGGTCATGGACACGGTGTGACAGATTGAGCGCGCAAAGGACTACGAAGCCTTTCTGGAATGGCACTTTCCACTGAGATGACGATTAGGTTCTGGCTGGCACTTCCACTGAGATGACCTTGAAAACGCTGTAGCTCATCGTCACTCACGATGCACATGGCTTCTGGGTGTTAGGCTGGAAATCAAGACCTTGAGGGATGACAGCATCCTTGAAATGCGTGATGTGAGCACTTGCTGAGATCTCGAGCTCTCCAAGACAGGTGCCATCACGCTCAATCAGACCACAGCACTTTTCAAAAGAGTCGAGTTTCTAGCCTTTGGGGTCTAGGCCGTCCCAAGACCTCTTGTACCGATCATGTTTGAGCATGTGTTACTCAGCAAGTTGCCATCGTGTCGGCTTCTTGCGCCAGACCCTGCGGGGTCTGCAAGTGGGATGCCAATTTAGTTAGACCTTATGGTTAAGATTTGGGGCTTCGGGTGTAGGCTGAAGGGTTAAGGGCTTTGTTTTTCAGAGCCCTAGTGCAGCTTCCGACAATGGAGCACGACATAAGAAACATGGTGTCCTGGCCCCACATGAAGATATGGCAA